GCTATAGGATAAGCACTGGATTGCTAACCTCAATGTTAGCAGTTCAGACCCACTAGCTGCTCCTTGGAAACCCAATACAAGATCGCTATGCGTTGGAGCCAACTTGATGGCACTTAACAATAACAACAACATATATATGTATGTATGTAGTTAGGAAAACAAATAATCTTTTAACAAACTTTCACTTAATCAGCCCATTGGACTGTCCCATGGGTACAGCTTCCTGACTGATGCTCAGAATCCTTCCTTGTGTTACACCTAAGCCATGGGTTTAGCTGCTTGCTTTCCAAACATCAGTTATGCTATTCCCAGTTTGTATATGTGATTGTAATTATCTACTTTACATTAAATAATTGAAATTTTAATATATAAACAGTAACAAAAGAGAAAGAAGTGTCACTATGAAAACTTAGTTTCAAGCTTTGGCATCACGGGCTAAAAATTAATCACTAAAACCAACTGCTATGGAATTAGATGTAAGTGAGATTACTATGAAAGTTCAGAGAAAAAAAAATCTATATGGAGTCTGCACTCAGGTTACTTTGTATATATAAGTATTTTCAAGAAACTTTAAAGAAACAGAAATTACATTATTAAGGTACAGTTTCATAATAAATAATAGTTAAAGCTCCCACCAGTACATCTATAGTTAAAGAAAAGATCTTGAACTTACATCAGACAGCAAAACAATACACTCTATAAGACTAAGATACAATGAAATGTTTAAGATATGCATCAGCTTTTATGAATCCCCACCTTAATCTACTTTTCAAATGAAACATCTAACTCAGCATTGTACAACATACTTTTTCTGAATTGATGGAAATGATCTATGTGCTATACAATATAGTAGCCACTAGTCATGCATGGGTTATGAGCCCTTGAAATGTGGCCTGCTTGACTAAGAAGCAGAGTTTTACATTTTGATTAAATGTGACTAATTTAAACTTAAAGACCATAAGCGGCTAGTGACTACCAAGTAGACAATAACTAGGTCAGATAAGAGAGTATCTCCTGAAAGTAACACTTTTGGGAATATATTTTCAGTTATTAATAAACTAAATAAGTGGAAGTATTTGTTAAGAGATTAGAGTATTTATCTCCAAGAACATTAATGAAAGAACTCCTACATTTGGTTAGAGTTTATTTGGATTGGTGTTTCTCAAACCTTAAAAGATAAAAGGTTCTGTGGAATCTCAGTTTTGATTTAAATGACTTTTGTTACAATGTTACTTAAAACGGTATAAATATAAAACTAGGTATAAATTTATCATGCTTATGATGTTTACATACTTATAAAATAAAAATAAACTTATAAATTCTAACAAAGCTACAAATTCAATAAAATTCACATTGTAAGTTCTACAAAAACTTCCATTTTTAATTTCTTCACAAAGGACTCACTTTAGAGAAACTCTGGTTTGAATGAATCCCAGAGCCCCTTCCAAGTCAGGTTATCATTTTATTTTTAAATTTTCATTTAAATTCAAAATGAGTTTTTTGTTGCTGTAGGGACTTAGTAGGGACACAAATTTTAAATTAGAAAAATTTTTTCAGCACCATAATTTTTAATAAGAAATGAGTTTTGTGCATTTTTCAAATCAATCTATAGAAATTCTACTCAATCTGAATAGAAAGAAAAGATATTTGGTCCAATTTTTCTACTAACTTCAGGTTATCAGTAGGAGCTGTTTACTTTAGTAATCAATAACTTTATTTGGTAATCAGTTGTTGTTGTTGTTAAGTGCTGTCGAGTTGGTTCCAACCCATAGCCACCCTATATAGGGTTTCCGAGGAGCGACTGGTGAGCTTGAACTGCCAGCCTTGCAGTTCAAACAGCTTTGCAGTCTGGTGCATTAAAGCACTAATTATATAATATTAGAGTTCAAACAAACATTCAGAAACATTCAGTGACATTCAGGGTTATTTTTTGTGTGTGGGCAATGCAGTGGGCACAATTCATATTTCTCTGTAATGGAATTTTTATAGTAAACACATATTTGCAACTCATCTCCAATTATTTCCACTCTAATAAAACTTTATTTTTGAAAAAGAAGCTTAAAAATTTGCATGCATTGCTCAAAAAGTAGTCACAATTTTTCTACTTAAATAACTTTCTGTTTTGCCCAGATTATTATTGCTGAAATCATCTCATAATCACATAGTAGAAGAGCAATGTCAATGATCAAACTTCCGTTTTATCAGTACTAAAACTTTGCATATAGTTTACTGAGTATATAATGTATATATATGAACCACTGATCTTGTAGTTCAAACCGACCTTACTGTCCAGTGTTTTATCCTACAGAGCCACACCAGGGATATATACATACATTTCATTTTATGGTGCTGTAAGGAGCTCTGCTGGCATAGTGATTATGAGTTGGGCTGCTAATCTCAAAGTCAGCATTCCACAGGAAAAAGATGAGGCTTTCTGCTCCTATGAAGATTTATAGCCTTGGAAGCCCTATACAGGGTTGGAACTGACTCCACAGCACATAATCACTACCACCATGATGCTGAAAGTAGAACCAACAGCTGCTGCTCTGAAATCCTATACAGGGTCGCTATGAGTCAGAACCGACATGGACTATATGTATATATAACAATATGCAGTCTAGTGCTTTATCCAACAGCACCATATCACATACATACTGTTAAAATTGCAGAGTTCTGGAATTTATTTTCTGGAGATAAGTGAACATAGCCTGAAGAGTATTGAACTTTCTTATCTGGGTAACTTTTAATAGAGATTGTTGCATCAAATGCTTCTGTGTATCCATAAACTTGAATGACGACATTTTCAGATGCTCCAACACGAAATACTTTTGGTGCTGTAATGACATACCTGTTGAAAAGGAAGAGAAGGATCAGTATCTTTATACAATATATTTTGTTAGACTTCTGATTTTTTTTTTCTCTCTCATTTGAGAGATTCTGGTTAAAATAGATGCATTTATTTCAACTTAAAATGATATTTTTCTATCAAGATTTCGCTGGTAGTGTAGTGCTTACGAGTCGGGCTGTTAACCTCAAGGTCAGCAGTTGGAAACTAACAGCTGTTCTGCAGGAGAAAGATGAGGCTTTCTGCTCCCATAAGATTTACAGACTCGGAAACCCTGTGCAGGGTCTCTATGAGTCAGAACCGACTCCACAGTACACCAGCATGATCTTTTCAGCCTAATTTCAAAGAAGAAATAAGCTTTGAATGAAGATCTGAGTAACAGAGCTGGAGGTTAAGTCTACCTTTGAAAGGTAGGCACAAGTTCCCAGAGTTACGACTGCCAAGGAAGACTTTTCATGCTATTGACTGGATGGAGCATGTAAATAGGGTCAGTATTTTTCCCAGTGAGGAAAGAGCAACATTTGCTGGTTGAGTGACCATAGTAAAATCATTAACCCTCTCTCAGTGTAAAATAACTTAACCTGCGAAAATATCAATTTTTTTAAAAATCAGTGTGTTTTAAGAATTAAATGAAAATATGAAAGTTCTTAACATGCATTTTGTTGTTGTTGTTAAGTGCCATTAAGCTGGTTAAGGTTCATAGACACTCTGTATAGAATTTCCAAGGAGTGGCTGATGGGTTTGAAGCGCCAATTTTATGGTTAGCAACATTGTTGTTGTTGTTGTTAAGTGCC